TGACACGCTTTTGCTCGTGTTTATTTCACCTGTTTGAAGCTTATAGCGAGGTAAGACACAACAGCTGTATTGTTCAAGCTATCCTTTATTCTTTTTTTGTTAAGTTACATCTGCTTAAAGTCAAATACGTATTAAGCGAATCGGGGGGGAACTGTGAAATGAAAGACAGTTTGATGACAGCCCTGTAGTGCAAAATCATCTTTGCCATTTTTTTGGTTGTTCTCGAACATAAAAACACTCACTTCCATCAAACATTTCAGGCACTATAATTTAGATGCAATAAGGCTGTGCTTTGATACAGTTTCCAAACTAAAAATAATAATTAAAAAAAACCAGAAAATATCGTCTGTAAGGTTATATTACAAATACATTCAAAACGCAATTTGATAGCCTAAAAATCAAACCATAAAGCAAATCCTTTACACATGTGAATAAACAATATCAATATGCACCGATTTCACACAAACAGCATCATTAGCCTATACAGAAAATCCATACCGAAACCTGAGGCAGAAACGTACGCTTTAATGGATCAGTCAGATCCTAACCCGAATTCTCCACAAAAAACTCGGATCTAACATTTAATGTACAATGAAACTCAAATGTAACACAAGAAATCAAAAGCATTAAAAAAAAAATCACTCCTTGACACTTGGTGTCAAATTGGCGAAAATATTTTAGCCCCCAAAATGCTTAAAGCTCTACGGTGGCGGCAGGGCCGTTGGTGGTGCTGGGTTTCTCTCCCTCTGCTGGTGGAGCCTCAGCAGTGCTGCTCTCCTTGGCTTCCTGCTCGCTGCTCTCTGCGGATTGGCTCTCTTCCGCCTCCCTCTGGTCAGCACCGGAAGGGCTGTTGGGCTCGTCGAGAAGCGCCGTGGTTTCGTTGATGACCTGCGTGGTGTCGTTTGCCGGTGGCGTCTTGACGGCGCCGTTTTGCACCGGGAAAGCGCCCTCTAGAGCCGTGTAGAGGAACTGGTACTGCTCCTGTGAGGAGTTTAGAAGTACTTAAGCATTTTAACGTGCAACAAAAGACTAATATGATTTGTTCATGGATTGTTTATGAACTTGTAGGGCCTATGTGGTATGTATTTGCAAACTACACTTAATTTGTGTTAAAACATCTTTGAAGTCACCTTTAAGCGGAAGATTTCACATTTGTGACCGTGGACCACATAAGGGTCGATTTATTGAAATTGAGATTTATGTGTCATCTGAAAGCTGAATAAATAAGCTTTCCATTGATCTATGATTTGTTAGGATAGGCTGAGATACAACTATTAGAAAATCTGGAATCTTAAGAGTGCAAAAAAACAAAATTCTAAATATTGAGAAAATCGTCTGTGAAGTTGTCTAAATTAAGTACTTAGCAATGCATGTTACTAATCAAAAAGCAAGTTTTGATATATTTACGGAAGGATATTTACAAAATATCTTCATGGAACATGATCTTTACTTAATATCCTAATGATTTTTGGCATAAAAGAAAAAAAATCGATAATTTTGACCCATACAATGTATTGTTGGCTATTGCTACAAATATACCCCAGCGACTTAATTAAGACTGGTTTTGTGCTCCAGGGTCACAATTAGCAAACATTAGCAAAGATATACAGTTTGAATAAGCCCATGCTAAAATATGAATAGTGTAAATCATAGAAAAGGATAAACAAGGGTCATAAAATATTCTACAGTAACAATGGAAATCCCAAACTATTTTTTTCTTCCAAAATGGTACAGATCAGTATTTTAAGGAAAGTACAAGATGATTAAGTTTTTCCACTCTTCTATAAACCTTAGTCCGGGTAGCGCCAAATGTAATTTTTGACAGGAATGAAAATGAGGATGTAAGGGATAAGTTCAGTCATTCAATGAATTGTACCATTAAAAACATACCGAGTTGTCAGCCGACAAAATATTGAATTGATGAAAACGTCATAAAACTGTTTTTAAAGTTGTGGGTTGAGAAAAATTACATGAGCTAGGATCTTTATACAGTGTGTGCCATTGTAAAGCTGCAAATTTAACCCTCACACAGCCTTGTTTTCACCTGCGTTAAATTCAAGATAGCATCTAACCTGACTAAGGTATATTGTTTTTATAAACAAAGCAAGAACTTACGATTGTTTCCACAATCCTCTGTCTCTCCTTGCGCAAGTTTTTGATTACGTGAAAGACGTCCACCAGCTTCTCTGTGTATGCGCTGTCCAAGAGGTTCCATAAGGCACAGAAGATTCCGGTACGCGACGATCCATTGCTGAATTGAAAGTTTACGGAAGTTTAAAATCCATCAATCCATCCACCCATGTCTATCAGGAAAACAAACTGGTGTTGATGGACTTACTTGCAATGCACCACCATGGGGATGTTCCGGTTCATTCTGCTGTTGTCATAATTGCCGTTTTCTCTGATGACCCTTATCATCTCTATTAACTCCTGAGCGTTCTCCGGAAGCTCACGGCCTTTCCATTTCAGGAACTGGTACTGATCCACCTCTAAGACGTCTGTCTTCTGTTACAGGATTCAAAACGGATTCATATGTCTGCAGATAATGACGTCACAGATATTCATGCTGAGGAGAAGGACTCTGCTTACCTTTGTGGACTGTATTTCCAGACGCCGTCTCACATACATTGGAAAGCTTTCTGTCTTTTTTACCTCAATTTCCATGTCTCCGAATGTTTTCTTTTCATCTCCCCAGTACTGATAGCAATAATCCTGAAACAATAAAAAATAAATATGGGCTGAAAAACTAGGCAGAGATCAGTCAATTGCTTTGTATGTCTGTCTTTCTGTCTGTTTCTCTGTCTATCTCTGTCTGTCTGTCTGTCTGTCTTATCTATTTATCTATCTGTGTCATCTATCTCTGTCTGTCTGTCTATCTATCTATCTATCTATCTATCTATCTATCTATCTATCTATCTCTCTGTCTGTCTGTCTGTCTGTCTGTCTGTCTGTCTGTCTGTCTGTCTATCTATCTATCTATCTATCTATCTATCTATCTATCTATCTATCTCTCTGTCTGTCTGTCTGTCTGTCTGTCTGTCTGTCTGTCTGTCTGTCTATCTATCTATCTATATCTATCTATCTAACTGTGTTTGTCTGTCTTGTCTGTCTGCCTATCTATCTATCTATCTATCTATCTATCTATCTATCTATCTATCTATCTATCTATCTATCTATCTATCTATCTATCTATCTATCCTTTCATCTGTCAGTCTTTCCCTTTGTCACTCTTTTTACCCATCTTTCTGTTGTTCGATCTATTCGTCTGGCTATCTAGTTTTACTGCTTGTCTGTCTGCATGTCTATCTATCCCTCAATCTCTCTGTCTGTCTGTTTATCCATCTCTCTCTCTCTCTCTGTTATTGTGGGAGGTCGTACATTGCCGTCTTCTTGGCAGTCTGTGAGCATGACCAGTGTTTTAGTTTGTTGCTGGTACAGCATGAGCAGGAACTCTGCCGTCGTGTTTGGTAAAGGCCCCTGTGCTGCGATCAGACTCTTGTGACACCAGTAGCCCTGTTGGAAAGCAATAACAAGCATATTTGATTCATATTTACATATTCCAATCTATTAAACAATTTCTCATTCACTCTAATAACTGTATTAAAAATAACTATATATTAGATAATATAAATTCAAGAGAATCAAGTTTTGTACAGCAATGAATGAGGCGTTGATGTATTCATTAGATTCTTCTTCCTCATCTGATGAATACTCGTCCTCATCCTCTGGATCACTGGTCTGGTTGCCCTCAATGTCCAGTCTAAACAGGACTCTGTTAAAGTCATCTGGAACAGAAATGCTCACTGGTAACTCATCTAATGCTATCTTATAACGAAGAAGTAAATTTGTGTCTGTATATTATATATAGATTTGTAACATGCATTTGAAACCAAGATCTACAGATTAATAAAGTTGGTGTTGGTCACTGACATGGGATAACATCTGAGTAGCGGTTTTTCTTCTTGTTGTCCTCGCTGCTTCCCGTGTTAAACGTTCTCCATTTTTTAAATTTGGGCAGTTTCTTTATAAAGGAAAGCAATGGGAAAACATGCTGCATTAACAATAAGATACACACAGTACAGGACATGTCAGTGTCCTGATAACCAATCAGCTGAAAATCAAAGAGGGATGACAAACCTGGAACTCCATTTCAAGCAAACTGGGGTCACTGCCATCTTTCTGTTTGAGAGTGTTGAGCGCTGAGTGGAATTCAGACAGTGAGATCTCGGTCTCTCCAAACTGGTTGTGCTCAATCAGAGCAGTGTGGATCAGTATGTACTGGGCCTATCACAATCAACAACACACACAGTTAAATATGCATAAACGCATCCAACAAATGTAAAATAAAGGGTGTTACAACAGAATTTAAAAGTTTTAAAGTGTAAAATAAAGGATGTTTTTAAAAAATAAAATAATGGGTGCTACATTGGCCAGCTTTGGTCACGCTAAGGAACAAAAAAATACCCAATATTGAGAAAAAAAAAGATATACAGTATATATAAAGGAATGTATTTATGGCTTAAAGGGTTAGTTCACCCAAAAATGAAAATGAGCTTGTGTTTTACTCACCCTCGAAACATCCTAGGTGTATATGACTTTCTTCTTTCAGACGAATCCAGTCGGAGTTATATAAAAAATTGTCCTGGCTATTCCAAGCTCTATCATTGCAGTCAGCAGGTGTTGCAGTTGAACAGTCCACAAGTTGTCAAATAAAGCTCGCGCATCCATAATAAAACGTGCATCACACGGCTCCAGGGGGTGAATAACGGCCCCCTGTAGCGAATCCATGCATTTTTGTAAGAAAAATATCCATATTTCAAACGTTATAAACACTTTTCTCTCACTTCCGTTATCCGTCATACGTGGAAGGCGTTCTGGCGGATGACGTAGTACATCGGCGTTGCGTGATTAGTGACGAATGCGAAGAGAGAACAAAACAAAACGCCGGTCACGAATTAAAACTACAAACCGAGGATTTGCAAAGAAAAATGTCGGAGGATTTCGATATAAACCAAGAGGAGACTGGTTTTCCTTTGCTAAAGTAAGGAAACTTTGCTTCCTTTGCTCCTATAAACAAACTCGTGAGACTAGCATATCTCAGAGGCGCGCGCGCTGTCCATACATGCTGCGTCATCCGCCAGAACGGCTTCCGTGCATGACAGATAATGGAAGTGAGAGAAAAGTGTTTATTACATTTGAAATATGGATATTTTTCTTACAAAAATGCATGGATTCACTACAGGGGGCCTTTATTTACCCCTTGAGGCATGTGTGAGGCACTTTTATTATGGATACGCGCGCTTTATTTGACGACTTTGGACTGTTCAACTGCAACACCTGCTGACTGCAATGATAGAGCTTGGAATAGCCAGGACAATTTTTAATATAACTCTGACTGGATTCATCTGAAAGAAGAAAGTCATATACACCTAGGATGCTTCCAGGGCGAGTAAAACACAAGCTCATTTTCATTTTTGGGTGAACTAACCCTTTAATATTTTTACAAAAACATATAAATGTTCAATTAACTTTCCATTAAAATGTAAATTTTAAGGATAAATTCAAATATGATTTTTGCATATTTAGCTCATGATTAGATTTAACACTTATATTTAAGATTTTTTAAATTATATTTAAGATTTAAAGAAAAGATTTTTAGCATACATAGGTTTAATTTACATGTATATACACAAATGCAAATGTAAATGTAAATGTAAAAATGTAAATTCTAAATACTACAAAATATTTGACAGAAATTTTACATAGGTATTTTTAAAATGTTTATTAATCTTAAATGACTAAAAATGAATGACCAATAATTGGACATTTTATTTAAATAAATGACTTAAAATTAACTAATTAAATAAATATTCAAATATTTAAATAAACTGCTAAATACATATTTAAATTGTTAACAAAATACGTATCATCATTAATTATATATAAAATAATTTGAAAATGATTAGAATATAACATCTAGACCAATTTGGGCTTTTTAATAATACCTACTTCAAATTTGGTGTGATACACCAAATTTATTACCAATAAATCAGTGAATAAAATCAAATCACCTCCACTTGAACCATGAGGCAACGCTGGCGACGTAGTTTTGCTACGTATCCATAGATATCCACTCTGCCCACTGCCTCGAGAGATTCAATCATTGCATCAATGCCGATATATGTTCCTGTGCGGCCGACCCCTGCACTATAGAAGATACAACAACATTCACATTAAGCTTTATCCACTCCAAATGACCCTTTAGTCAATGACCTTTTTGATACCAAATGCACATAATAATCCCTACAGCCCTGTCTTACCTGCAGTGGACCACAACTGGGCCACTGAAGAAGTTCTTGAAGGAGTTGACTCTTCTCCTGAGCTTCAGAAGCAGGCAGGGGTCTCCAGGCACACCATGGTCAGGCCAGCTAATGAACTGGATATGAGTGACTTCTCTTTCTGAGGCCTTCTCTCGCTTCTGTACACACACACACACACACACACACACACACACATTAAGTTAAAACCATCTGAATGAAGCACATAAGAATAAGCGAACCACACACACTTACATTGTTCAGGATCAGATGGCGTATGGTGTAATCAGGGCAATGTTGCTCAGATCGGATTTTCACCACAAAATCGTCAAAAATCTCAGTCTCTCTGTCCAGAGATGGCCAGTACTGAGCGCATTTGATCTGAGAGGACAAACAGCAACAGTGAGTGGAAATAATGAACAAATAACTAATAAAATGTACAAAAATATAAATAAATACTATAAAAAAATTCTACAACACCGGACCAAACACAACCTTGTTTCCTTCCTCACAACGGGTGACCATGACAATAATGGATGACTTTTGCTCCCAAACCATTTGCCAAAAGTCACAAACAGTCTCATCCTTGGGTCCTGGAAAACATGTCCAACAAAAAAATAATAAAAATCTAGCCATTGTTTAAACTTCAAAAATGTTCACTTTTAATAACCTTAAATGTTGGTGTAAACAATTCTGCCACAATTTTGATGGTTATCAGGCAATAGTAATATAGAATGTTGGGTAAAAGTGTACATTCATTGGCCGCTTTAAATGTGGCTTAGCCAATCACAATTTAGAATCATAACCATCCATTTAATAAGAGGATTTTTTACCTTGGGCTGCAATGTATTTCTTTGGCTCTTGATATCCCTGTAAGGGTTAATGAGTTACAGTACGTTAACAATTAAATAAATAAATATTATTTAATTGAAATGTTAAGTATAATATTGAAATTGTATTTAAAAATGACCTCCATTAATTTCAATAAAGTTAATTAATTAAAATTAGTTGAGGTAAACAAGCATGATATATAGCTAGAGGATAAATGACCCATACCTCGATAAAGCTGGCATTGATGTAGTCGTCTTCGCCTCCAGCTGAGAGAGTAACCCGATTATAGTCATCTGCAAATTCATGCACAAAATGATCAATTCTCTGACTGAAATATGAAAACTACACAAGGAACTGTGGGTAAACTGATTTCTTCATGAAGGGATATTTACAAGGCAGAATGTCAACGTAGCGGTTCTTGGACTGGTTTTCCTGTTTCTTCGCTTCTTTGATGGTGTAATTGGAGAAAATGCGGGGAATGCTCTGAGGAGAAGCAGAATCTGAATGTATTTCTCATTATATTAAAACAGTAAATGCAGCTTCTGCAGATGAATGGTATAGAGATTGAGAATCACCTGAAACTCATCCATAAACAGACGGCTCTCATCAGCGATCTTGCTCACGTAAGCTTCCACCAAACCCTCGGCATAGATGGGCTCAACTCTGCGCAGCGGTTCTGCTGGAGGACATGAGACATCAGATAGTTCTTCTAAAATCAATTTACTTTCGAAATAAACATGAATTGATTGATTGGAGCAAATAACATACGAGTAAGAGGAATCTCTTCATCTTCAGCACTCCTGTGGTGAGAAATCCCATCAGAAACATAGTTACACATTTATGCTAATGTTAATCCATTAATCCTTTTATGCCAATTGAAAATAATCAATTTGACAAACTGACCGTTTTCTTTTGAGCAGGAACATTTTGTATAACACAAAAAGGAGCGCAAGTGACGTCACAAGGATGAGGAACACCAAGAATCCGATGACAGCCTTATCATTATCTGAGAGAAAAAAAAAACTTCAGATTCTAGACTGTTATTCTGTTCTATAACTATATTTATACAGTAACATTTTATTAGGGTAAATGTGTCACTAGTTTGTTTTAATATTATTTAATTATATTTCTAAAAATGGAATTACCTGTTTGAGCAATATTTGACTTTTAATACCCAGTCAACACGTGAGATCATGCGATGATCACAGTGACATCCCACGATCCTCATACTGTGATCCTCATGGTGTGAGTAGTATATGAAATGATTGTGAGTTCACCCGATCCTCATACTGTGATCCTCATGGTGTGAGTAGTATATGAAATCATTGTGAGTTCACACGATCCTCATACTGTGATCCTCACGGTGTGAGTAGTATATGAAATCATTGTGAGTTCAAACGATCCTCATACTGTGACCCTCACGGTGTGAGTAGTATATGAAATCATTGTGAGTTCAAACGATCCTCATACTGTGATCCTCACGGTGTGAGTAGTATATGAAATCATTGTGAGTTCAAACGATCCTCATACTGTGACCCTCACGGTGTGAGTAGTATATGAAATCATTGTGAGTTCACACGATCCTCATACTGTGATCCTCACGGTGTGAGTAGTATATGAAATCATTGTGAGTTCACACGATCCTCATACTGTGATCCTCACGGTGTGAGTAGTATATGAAATCATTGTGAGTTCACACGATCCTCATACTGTGATCCTCACGGTGTGAGTAGTATACGAAATCATTGTGAGTTCAAACGATCCACATACTGTGACCCTCACGGTGTGAGTAGTATATGAAATCATTGTGAGTTCACACGATCCTCATACTGTGATCCTCACGGTGTGAGTAGTATACGAAATCATTGTGAGTTCAAACGATCCTCATACTGTGA